GTCAAATGTAGGTAGCGAAGAAGCAGGTTCCAATGTTGCGGCTACAAAGCCGAAATTCGGGGCTCGCTGGGGAACCAAACAGGCACAGAAGCCGGCCGGTCTCAGCCCAGCGGAACAAGCGATGCGAGATGCCTTACTAGCGAAGAAGGCTGCGGAAGAACAAGAGAAACGACGACTGCAAGAAAAAGAATTACGTGGATCACAGCGTAGAGCGGAATCGCGGGCCGATTGGAACAGACCCTCAAGGCGACAGAACAGGCGACATCCTTTCGACAATGGGGAGAGCCGATCATTGCAGCCTGATAAAACTTTAGAGGTGAATACCAAACATGTACCAAGAATTCTGCGTGCTTCGGATTGGATCTGCCCGGATTGTCAATACAACTGTTTTGGGAAGCATCAGACTTGCCCGTGCTGTAAAGCTGTCCGACCAGATTTGGCGTGGCCGTCGTGGCCATCCAAGAATCCAGCGCGGAAAATGGAGAGAACCCGCAAGGCTGAAACGCGCAAAGCTGGAGCTTCAGAAGAAACCCTTAAAATTCGGAGACTGGGTCATGAGATGCTGTCCGATATGGATCAAGAACGGCGTGGTTCCGCGGCAGTGACTAGACGGGAAAATGCCGTTAGGTCATTTATGGCTAGTGAAGGAAAGCCAGTGGGAGCGCGCCTTGTGTACGATCTCAAAAACGAAGAGGAAGAGGCGAAAGCCCGAGAAGAAAAGATTGCCGAACGTCGCCGTGAGCGACAGTCCAAACCCAAGCCAAAGAAGGCAGATGCTCCGGTAGACCCATGGTCCTGGGATTCGTCATCCCTTAAATTAAATGATGACGGCGATGTCACTCAGTCTGAAAAGCCCTCAAAACGTCGGGATGGCCGTAAGGAGCGGCAGTCCGAGGCTGATGAGGACGACGAGGAAGAAGATGACCGTCGCCGTCGCCGTGAGGAACGCAAACGCCTGAAGAAAGAAAAGGCTCGGCAGAAAGAATTAGAGTCGGCTTCAATTCCACTGTATTTGCCGGAGTTCATCAGCGTTAGCAATCTTGCTGATGTCATCGGGGTGCGGCCTGCTCAATTTGTTCAACAAATGGAAGATATGGGCTTTGAGGGCGTCACATACAGCCACGTTCTCGACGCGGAGACCGCCGGTCTTGTGGCAGCTGAATACAATTTCGAGCCTATTTTCGAAACTGCAGAGGACGAGGACCTGACAGCTGCAGCCGAGCCTGAAGACAAGTCCATTTTTCCTTCCAGACCTCCAGTGGTGACTATTATGGGACATGTTGATCATGGAAAAACCACTATTTTAGATTGGCTTCGAAACTCGTCGGTGGCCGCATCAGAACACGGAGGCATTACACAACACATCGGTGCCTTTTCCGTGGCTATGCCCTCTGGAAAGGCCATCACATTCTTGGACACTCCTGGTCACGCTGCGTTCCTGGATATGCGTCGCCGTGGTGCAGACGTCACTGACATTGTAGTCCTCGTCATCGCGGCAGATGATAGCGTTAAACCTCAGACAATCGAGGCAATTAAACACGCCACTGAAGCCAGGGTTCCTATTATTGTCGCTATCAGTAAGATTGACAAGGAAAATATCAATCTTGAGAAAGTCAAACAGGATCTTTCTATTCACGGTGTACACGTCGAAGACTACGGCGGCGATGTCCAAGCGATTGGAGTGAGTGGTAAAACTGGCCAGGGCATGTTAGAACTCGAAGAAGCCATCGTCACGCTTTCAGAGGTTCTCGACCATCGAGCGGAGGTCAACGGCAAAGCTGAGGGATGGGTGATTGAGGGCACAACCAAAAGCTACGGCCGTGTGGCGACGGTGCTCATCAGACGTGGCACACTACGACCGGGAGATATCATTGTCGCGGGCACAACCTGGGCCCGTGTGCGCACTCTCAGGAATGAGGCGGGCGTCGCAATCTCCGAAGCTACCCCCGGCATGCCAGTCGAGGTTGACGGCTGGAGGGAACAACCGTCAGCTGGGACTGAACTTCTTGAGGCTGTTGACGAGCAGCAAGCCAAAGACGTCGTAGATTATCGACTGGAGAAAACTGAGACCCAGAAATTGGGCCAGGATACCGTGGCGATCAACGAGGCACGACGTGAACTACTCGAGAGGCGCCGGCAGGAAGAATCCGAAGGCAGTGAGGCTGTTGGCTCTGTCCAGGAGACATCTGGCCCCAAACCAGTACATTTTGTCATCAAAGCAGATGTTGGCGGATCCGCAGAGGCTGTCTTGAACTCGGTCACTGCGATTGGCAACAACGAAGTCTTCGCTAATGTTCTTCGTTCCGAGGTCGGACCAATCAGTGAGTTCGATATTGAGCATGCAGCTTCAGCCAATGGACATATTGTCTCGTTCAATATGCCCATCGACCCTGCCATGTCTCGTATGGCAGAAGTTCGCGGGGTCAAAATCATGGATCATAACATTATCTACAAACTCATTGATGATGTCAAAGCAATCTTAAGCGAACAGCTACCTCCATCTGTGAGTCACCGTGTCACTGGAGAAGCGGAGATCGGACAGATATTCGAGATCACACTCAAGGGAAGAGAGAAGACAGCCATTGCCGGATGTAAGGTACGCAATGGCATAATTAGCAAAGCCCGGAAAGTACGAGTAATAAGGGGCCAGGAAACAATCTTTGATGGTAAGATCCCCGCCCCATTTGACTGGGTAAATTCTGTTTCTGCGAGTTGGGAAGCTGATCTTGTACTTATAGGCTCTATCAATTCCCTCAAGAACGTCAAGAAGGATGTGACTGAAATGCGTAAGGATACAGAATGCGGTATCGGCTTTGAAGGCTGGACTAGCTTTGCTGTCGGCGACCATGTTCAGTGCTATGAAGAGATCTACGAGAAGAGATACCTATGATTTTTCTCCGCTCCATCCATTCATCCGCAGGCTATTTATTTCCACCGTTCTTATGACCTTCTGGTTACTGTATTGTTATTGGCGTTCTGACTGCGGATCGACTCTTCTCTTCTGTCCAATGTGGGACTTACATGTTTAATTGCATCTGGGCCGGTGTATTTGATTGATATAAAGGGTGGCAGCAAAAGTTGCGGGATATTATGCTTCACAGAGATTCAGTTCTCATGTACAATATATGACGCAGTGGTCTACATAGATCTCTCATCAAAATCAAATTTATGTATAGTAATGTTAGATTGGCACCTTAATAAACTAGTACACTTGCACCAGACTCGTGTCTCCTTCCCATCACGGAAATGAATACGGAACAGAGATCATCTCCATCGAATTAGCACAATCCCGTGCCGTAACCAGACTTGAACGCAACAAATAGTCTCGACCCAGATCCACCAACTCTTCCCAATACGAACCGCAGCACCAATCCCCGAAAACCAGCACGAACTCATAGACCCTCTTGTATACGTTATATACGTTATCCGAGCCTCCGAGTCGTAATCAATAGTCAGGAACACGCTAGAAAAAAGAAACCCACCACGAAAAAGATCGGCCGCCATCTCCACAACAGGAAAACTGTTCCGAATTCAGGCACTGGCTAATAGTGGCTATTGCCCAATAGCTTCGATGCCTTGGTAAACGTTACAAATGCGGCGTCGATCCACTTGCTACTAAGTATATTGTTTGGGATTTTACGTTGCAGACCCAGTTTAGGGTTCGGGACCGGTATCTCCTTTAGGAAGGGACCGAGGTCCAACGTTCACCTCGTAGAAACTTATTTTCTGATTACCTCGAGGTGAATCGAGCTTTGCTTTTTGGGTTTGTTGTGTACCTTCAATTAAATTGTACTTTTTTTTAGAACAGACGGACAAAGGTAGGAAAAAGGAGTATGTTAGTTGGGATGTATGAGGAGACGGTAGTAACGTGATTGTGCAGTGTGGATATACTCCGTACGTATCCCTTTTCAATGGATAACTTGAGATAACATCCTCAAGGCTCAACAGCCTAGTCTAGCCTTAGCTACTCATCAACATTGGTTCTCAATTTTCGTTCGCTATGCGATTGTGATAGAGCCTATTAGGTACCTATTCCTTACGCCCAGGGTTGTCTTGTCCATTGTGCGAACGAGAGCGGACTCTATATCCCAGTGTTTCCGGGCCCTGTTTACTTGCTAGTTAGTTATTTCTATGTGATGTATCTGAGGCACGGGTCTCCCTAATATCAATGCACGACGGTATAGCCCATACAGGCATTATTTAGAAAGTTTCTGCGAGGATCCACAGAGCACCCCTTGCAGTAAAGAACATATAGAAGGCCTCTCCTCGGGGATCCACCGATGATGCATAGGCTATATTATAGCTTCCTTGAGTGCCGGGACTTCCCGGCTGTTATGAAGCAAGTCGGCTTATTTGATGGCCCTGCGTCCAGTAGTAGTCTTCCACTTAGCGTATATTTTGGTCCTAGTGATATTAGAACACTTCCACGGTAGTACTTATATAGCGTTGAAGCTATAGACTCCTCGCTGCTATCGCAGTGGTGCCTGCTAACACGCGACTATCTAAAGACTGCTGCCAGATATGCCATTATACTGCTATAGTAGCAAGACTTTATGTCTCAAGTCCGACCGCGGCGTATAGCTTGTGGAGCTGGTCTATGCTACCGAGCAGTTTCGATTATCAAAACAGGTAAAACTCGTGAGGGTTGGTATTCTCATGAGTATAACACTGTTCTGCCTTCTTGTAATGATTATGGAACTTTCAGGGCATAAATCTCGCAGGGCAGAGGGGTGTAGCCCATACATACATACATACATACATACATACATACATACATACATACATATATATATATATATATTTCGCAATGCCTTAAGAAATGTCACAAGAGGGATCGAAGGTCTCAACTAGCTCATATCCCTTAGATATCCCTCTTGCATATATATATATTCCTCAAATCCAGTAATTTAACAAGATTTTATTATTGTAGGTAATCCGAGTTCAAAACCTTTGGTAGCATACGTCCCATAGTCACGTGGCTTGCAAAAACAGTGTAAACTGTTGCTTATAATTTCTAGAACAAGGCAGTTTGGTCAAGTGACTAAACCGACAGGCTCGAATTCCTCGAAGTGCTGGGTAGCTGACATTTCTTTTTGAATTTTTTTTCTAGCTTCATCTACGACCTAGCGATATGGGATTGAACTCATTGGAGGGCTCGTGCGTGCCAATTTCATCGACATGGTCAATTTTAGCGCGTCCTGAGGGTTTCCCCTCTCCTGTCCCTTTCATTCACTTATGTCCCCACTGTTCCCTGGGCATCATGCTGAGATTGTACTGCGCGAAACCTTCCTGCTAGTAGTTGGACTAGGGAAATCCCGGGGAGTGAGGGTTTCGGCATGGAGCCCGGAGGTTTCGGTTGACATCATCCGTCATCCTTCACATTCTCCGCGGGGTTAAAACCTGAAACTGGTGTCGCAGGCCTATTCTGTTTCATCCTCAAACAGAACTCCAGATATTTAATTAAACGCTGAAATTAGCGCGAGGAATCCTTTGGCCTAGAAGAATATCCACCCTGGCCTTCATGATGGCTCAAACAACTGTCGTTGCCTTCGATATTTACGGTACCCTACTATCGCCCGGATCCATAGCAGAGGACCTGGAACAGTATGTCAAATATGACAAGGAGCGTGCCCAGTCAATTGCAACATTGTGGAGGCGCTACCAGCTCGAGTATACGTGGCGATTGAATAGCATGTGTGAGCTGTGCTAGTGTCTTCGTTTTCAGCCTCGGCTTATTCTTTTGTCGCTAGGTCGATACATATCCTTTGAAGAAGTCACACATAATGCGCTTATCCATGCTTTGCGTGATACGGGGACGTCGGTAGGGGACGACGAAATCAAAAAGCTGCTTCTGATGCATGACAACATGGCCGCGTTCCCCGACGTGGAGCCAGCGTTGGATCAGCTGGCAAGGGCTCAGAATGTGATGCCTATTATCTTCACTAATGGTACTTCGAATATGGTATCCAAGTCCATCCTTCAGTCAGGCCCACTGTCGCACCATAGAGAGACATTTAGAGACCTTGTTAGCGTCGACGATGTTCGAAAATTTAAGCCCGCACCGGAGGTCTACAGGTATTTGGCCCAAAGAGTGGGAAAGTGCGTGCCAGAAATGAAAGACATCTGGGTGATCAGCTCCAATCCTTTCGACATAATAGGGGCGCTCCACGTGGGCATGAGAGTCATTTGGATTGACCGATCCGGGAAAGGATGGGCGGACAGAGCGGTGCCGGGCCTGGAGCCGACAGCGGTTGTCAATAGTTTGGATGAAATTCTACATGTCATTCAAGACCGTACGGGTTAATTCGGTGGTTATGGTTATTAGCCAATCTACACCAAGCGACGCAAAAATTAAGGGTGTACGCTGTAAATATTTCCAAACGCTCCACAAAAAGAAGAAGAATTTGGGGTAAGGCAGCCAGTTACTCTAACCTCCCATTTCCCCTCCAAGGGCCCATGGTGTTGTGAACCTCAGAGTGAATAGGGAGGTGTGTTCAGTTTTAATTTGGAAGAAGAAAGAAAATTCGCGAGGCGAAGAAAAAATCTCAATTTATAGTTGTGGCCCTGACCGCCCGGCTTATCGATAAGATCATGTGCCTCGGATATTTGGTCCATAGCCCGCAAGATACCCATGAAATCATCTCTCTCGACGGAGTACTATCGCTTATGCCAGCATATGCATACATCTACTTAGTTTTAATATAATAGATCCCAGCGTGGTTTTCTTTTAGCGTGCGCTTTGCCTTGGCTTGTCGCTATGGCCCGATCGCTGGATCCTAGCAGAGCTGCTTGGCTGTATCCTCTTCGCGTCAGTGCAATGTTTGCTGCCTAGGTATACTCTGTCGTGATTACTGACGCAACTGTTTAGGGTGTGTATTATTTCGCGTCGCATCGCTTCCTTTGGCCCTTGTTCAAGACTCGTCTAATTCCGATCGTTTTGCTTTCGGCGTTTATCTACGTGCTTCTGTTCCTCTTTACCTACTTGCCCCAGGTCGCTTTTCTTTCTATCTTTCAAGGCCGTGGTGCTTGGGTCAATGGAGCGGTCCTGGTCTTAGGAGAAGGTGCTGCAATCGTGGCCGCACTCTTTGAGGCATTCTTTGTTGATGAAACCCTGGTGGATATCTTCGATGCCGTCCTAGTGAATGAGGGACACGGGGAACTGGTCACCACTTCGCGGGTCCTATATCCGCAAGGCGATGATGTCGTCAAACGGTTGGGCAAGCCGATCCATAGTGCCGTCTATGCACCATTCTCCCTGCGACAGATCGTGGAGTTTGTTGTCCTCCTCCCTCTAAACTTTATTCCTGTGGCCGGGACACCCATGTTTCTTCTGCTCACTGGCTATCGAGCGGGTCCGTTTCACCACTGGCGTTACTTCCAACTGTTAGATCTTTCAAAGCAGCAGAGAAAAGAGAAAATCCGCCGTCGCCAATTGCAGTATACTACGTGAGTATTGTTCGGCCTTGCTGATCCACTGTGGCTTGCTAACCATGGTCACTCCAGGTTTGGAACGGTTGCTCTGATCCTTCAGCTGGTCCCGCCCTTGTCTATGTTTTTCTTGATGTCGACTGCTGTTGGTTCAGCACTCTGGGCTGTGGATCTAGAGAACAAGCGCGATCTGATAGGAAGAGCGAGACGTGATGAAGTGGACGAGTATCATGACGGCGATACGATATAAACCTGTTTTGGCTATAATTGTTTCTTTTCTTTTTTGTTCTAGATGTTTCATCTTGTCTTGCCTTTCCTTTTTTTGTCCGCCATACGGGGACAGACGCATATATAAGCTGTTACCTGATTCGGACAGAAGACCGACTAAGTATTTGTCATCTAATTTGGGTCGTTAGCTTCATAGTCTGTACTCTAGACTATTACCGTACTCCCATTTAGAGTACGAGATTGAGGGGTTTTCAAGGGAGCGTTCAGTCCCCACCGATGATCCACCACCTTTTTTTCTTGGATTCGGTGACTTGAGAGGTGGCGGACTGGAACCCCTGAGCATGCTAACGCAGCTAAGTCGAGGATAGTAAACTTTGTTGACATTCCCATCGACTGATTCAGCCAGTCAGTGCTCAAGCTTGGCTCCAGAATCACCCCATCCGTTAATTTTCTTTGCAGATAAGAAACCCTAAGGTGGGGATGATCCAGAGCCAACTATTGTGTGGTTCGATCGCTCATTCGTCTGGAGTCTTGACCAAATGCCGGCGGCGGATGTCCTGCGTATGCACGTGACCGCCTCGGAAGCTCGACATTTGTTCGTGGAGAGTCCCATCAATCCTTACTAGTACTTTAGATCGGCTGTGGCTATAAACTTCTTTTCAGCACAACGGGTTTATGCCCACTTTCGGAGGGGGAGTGCGCGAGCCAAGCATTTCTTGGCTCCACCACCATCGGTGAGGGACTTACCGGCTTGATTCATTTATTAGGCACCGGGACTCCCAAGCACCATCTAGAAAATGCGACCATTTTTGAGGCTTAAGAGTCTAGCCATTAAGCCTTTTCCTGTCTAATGTCCGAGGCATGACTGCTTAATTTGTACATCACCCGACGAACGTCTGTGCAGATCTCCTCCGATCATCCAATCTCCCTGGAGATCACCTTCTGGGGTATCAATCCGGGCAAGACATCACGAATCCCAATCTCCCGCGCTCAGAGAATGCCAAAGACTGGTGTCCTGGTATAAAGTCCAATGCCCTAGGCCCATGGATTCAACCCAAGCATGGAAACGGTCTCTATCTCACCCCTATACCCATGGACCAGAGAACCCGGCTGCGCAAGGCTTGTGATGCCTGCAGTATTCGAAAGGTGAAAGTGAGTATCAAACGTGGTACCCTGTCGCACGGAGACCTATCTAACGGACACCAACCAGTGTGATACAAGCGGGCCGCCCTGTCGGTCGTGCGCAAGCTTGGATATCCCTTGTACCTATGAGCGACCAAGCAGGCGCCGTGGTCCTCCCAATCGCCATGCAGAAGCGCTTAAACGACAGAAGCTCACGGCATCACCCGTTGGCTCTCCCACCCCATCTGATCATGCATCTCCAGAATCGACAGGGCTCCTGAACAGTCAGCCTTTTGCGCCACCAACAGTTTTCTCCTTGGAATTAATATGTCCATTATCTACTATACGACTTTTGATCGATGATTACTTCACCTACATTCACCCGCTAATACCCGTCCCTCATGAACCGACATTCCGAGCTGCCCTTGATCGAAGAGAGGATGTTAGCAACCGTACCTTCCTGGCCCTGGCGGCCTCTATGATTGGGACTCTGGTGGCCTCGTTTCCACGAAGGCCAAAGCTTCATTTAAAGACTGCAGCCGAAAAGGCAGCGTACCCGCACTCCATGGCATTGGTTAAGAGATGTCGGGACGTGGCTGTCCAAGCAAGAGGTGCGGGATATCTCGAACGGAGCTTGACAATCTACGATGCAGCCATCGGCTATTTTCTGTCTATTTGTGCCGGCTATATGTACAGTATGCGGACATGTCGCTCATATCTGTCCGAATGTTTGACGATACTGCATGTGTATGATTTATGCGGCCATAGTACCCGAATTCGGACGATGAGTCCACCGAGCCCAGACTCCTTCTCATCGCGCCTATCGCAGGACCATCCTGGTCAGCCAGGAGATGGCCAGCTCGATATCATCGAACTGGAACTCGGGCGGCGTCTGTTCTATGCTGTCTTAGTTGGGTACCGAACGTTGCAGCAGATGGGGTCAACTGACTCTACTTTTCATATTCCTCCAGAAACTCCGACCGAGCGGTATCCTCCCTTACCCCTCGAAATAGATGATGAGTTTATCTTTTCGACTCATGTTGAATCTCAACCGGCAGACAGAGTTTCCCGCCTGGTGGGGTTTAATCTTAATGTCCGCATATATAACTCGTACAACCAAGTGTCAGCTTGGGAAGTTGCATTTGGTAGCGGCCAGCCTTTTGACTGGGAACGGCAAAGGGCTGCTATCTGGGAAAGCCTACAGAAAGCCAAATCCGCCGTCGCTGACGTACCAAGAGAGTACTCCCTACATGGGTCAGTATCGGGTCAGGGTCCTGGCCCGAGCCCCTCAGAGGATCTAAATTCCTTTGATAGGCGACACATTCAATACGAGATTCAGAAGGCAAACATCTACGCAAGCCAGCTAGGGACTCGGTCTTATCTGGTTGAGAAGTACTGGGCACTGTATGCCGCTTGGAAGGTATACCGGAAGCGGGCCGAACAAGCGACCCATACGAGTCCATCGCCGGTCAAGGTCGAGGAAGACCAGCCCAACACGCTCGAGGCTGATGCTGATGCGCAATCGGATCATATTGGAGCCACCATGGCGGAAGAGCGTCGAATTGTGATTCGTGATATGTTGGTTTTGATACGATCTATCAACGAGGTCATCATGGAGCCAAACGGGCTTAGCTTTGTATGTTATCCTTTCACGTTCCCTATGATAAGTCGGTACTAACAGTGACATCTATAGACCGCCAAAGTCCGCCAGGTCGCCTCTACGCTTCTTAATCTTCCCAACCCTAATAAGGAACCGGCTGATTCCACCGCTTTGACAGCGGGGCCGCACCCGCTGACCGTGGCTGAGGCGGAGTCTTACCTCCATGCATTCATCGATACCCTCATGCGTCTGGAGGGAATGGCAGTTCCGAGCCCGTCAATGGCTGCAGCTAGTCCACAGACAAATGGCCGCTCAATGAGCTATCTCAGTGATATAGACCGCGACGAGGAGGAACTACGCAAGTGGGCCAGTGTCAAGGAGTATCAAGCAAGGTTTGCAGCCACAGGAGGATGGCTTTCAGAACTATGATCTGATGCTGTTATCTTCATTTTGTATATATATGTGTGTGTGTGTTCTTCTCTGGCTGTATACACCTGGGATGGCGTACGGGCGAGTCTAACGGACTGGATGGAGTTACGGATGAGGGGTCTGATGTATATTTTCTTGGGCGGCGTTAATGTCATAGATATCCATCTGCATATTCTACTCTCACTGGAGCGTATCTTCAATAACTGCCAAAACAAGAAAACTTCATTTGCCAGGGGGCCCAGAACGTTTCAGATAAAGACATCAGTTCAAGCACAGATATCTGTGTCTTACTGGTTATGTCTAAAATGCCAATATGTAGGAGTAGTACACTCGGAGTAGGATACAGGCAGCAATTAATCCTTCAAGCCACATTCACGAAAACAGTCATTTATAGTAGATAATAAATCCACCACATTAAGAAAATAACTACCGGAAGACTCAACCCAGACATCTAGTCACCAGATTGGTAATCTTATCAAACTACAATAACTTCGTATATGAAGTTAGGTAACCAAGTCTCAAACCCTATAAAACTTACAATCCATTTATAAGCCGAATAACAAACTACCACCCCTTATCCGAAAATTAAGAAACAACTACTAACATCTAGAATGACTCCCACCCCCCCTAAGCTCATCGTCGGCGGCAGCAGCAGCATAATCAAAGACGACAGCCTCTTCTCAACACCACAACAAGTCACCTTCTCCCCCTTCTCCTCTTCACCCTTGACCAAGAAAACATCCATCAAATCGACACAGCCCAACTATACGGAAACAGCGAGGACATCCTCGGCGCCGTTAACCCAGGGGCCATCGGCATGAGACATATCGGCAGTTTGGCGAAGTGTACTTCATCCCGGGAGGAGGTGGGTACGCCTGCAAAGCTAGACGCTGCAATAATTAGGCTCTAACAAGTTAATAGAACTATGATTGATTGATTGATTGATTGATTGATGGTGAGAAAGGGGGAGGAGAGTTCGCTGAAGTTGTGGGTTGGTTGAGGGTGAGGCTGCTTTGGATAATTTTGCGAAATTTGAGGGTTTATATTACTTTTTTTTCTTTTTCAGAGTTGGGGATTAGATTGGATTGTATTAGGGGCTAGCTTATTCTGACTCTCTAAATGAAAGTATTGTATACAATTTTGAAAGAGAATGAGCATATTATAGAGAATAGGAGAGAGAGAGAGAGAGAGAGAGAAGGAAGGAGGATCTCATCAATCAACAGTAGCTGTCACTGTCATCATAACGGTTTTTGTTTCAGTAGTCTTCTCAGTTACAGTCTTTGTCTCCGTCACTGTAAGAAACATTGGTGAAATAGGATTCACAACCAGAGAACTTCCATTATCGGGGTTGTCCGATGTTGGAGCCGGAGCCTTCTTACTACTGGTAGCCAGCGCAGTTGGGTTTGGGTTTCCCTCACTTAGAACAGAGACAGAGGTAGTAGGAGTCGGCCGCTGAGTTTGCTCGGTTGTTGTCGGCATAACGGTGACGACTTTGGTCTCAGTACTGGTGGGATGGATGGTCGTTACCAACCCCGTGGCATGAGGGCTATTGGCAGGAGTGGTATTTTGTGTAACTGATGCTGATTGTGAGGGGGCGACAGATGTTGTTACACGGGGTAAATTTGTTGACATTGATACTATTGCCGTTGAGGGAATGTTATCGTCAGGGCTCAGCGGGATTGTTATGTTCCGACTTGTAGATACCCCCGGGATGATTATCACAATTCCAGTTCCTGAGACGACTGTTCCTGTTACATCCGGTGCTGGGGGGCTCTTGGTAGTGGGTAGACCGGTGGAAGGTGACTGTGTGATTGATGCACTTGTGGTAGTCTGGGAATGAGAGATTGAATCCGTGTGAGAGGCTGCGGCTGTGGGTTGTACGGTCCATGTGTTGGGTGTATAGTTATTGCTAACTGTGCCCGAGGTCGAATGAACACTGGTATGATCGGACTGCGATGCAATCCCCGTTGGACTCTGATGCGCTCCGGTAAATGCACCAGAAGGACCGGCTCCTGGTAAAGTGCGGATCACGCCAACGGTAGGACTAGATGACGCTGTAAACCTATTGTCCGTGGTTTCTGTGGAACTGCTGAAGAGATGTGATGATGTCTGTTTTATTGTAGAAGACTGATCTAGCGTAGACGTAGGGGTCGCTCTCCATGAGAAACCTGTAGAGTGGCTTATAGAAGTTGCTGATACCGGGGGCGGATGTGATATAGATCTTGTAGTCTTCCAAATCGATGAACTGACTCCAAATAGGCCGGATGAGTGTGATAATGGTGTCCTTGAGGGAATGGCTGTGGAGCTGGACTGTGTAAAGATCGTTGATGTGACTGTAGTCGTCGTGACCGTAGGCTCGGCTATCTCGCTCGATACGACAGCGGCGGAGCTGGCACGCACGACAGCTACTTGAGAGTATGTGTCTGCGAGCAAGGATGTCGAATGCGTTGAATCTGGTGTCTTGGAAGTGGAGGCACGGGGGGCGCTATAAACATGAGTGAGGGTATTTGTTATATGTGTAGCAGGTGCCGACGAGCTACTCGCGGCCATGTATGACGATGCAAGCGTTGTCGTAGGGTAAAATGCCGAATGGCTCTCGGGACCATCATCCTCCTCATCGTCAGCAGGGGTATGATGAAGCGCAGCACCAGAGCTTGACTCTGTCTGTATCACGGTGGAGAATGTGCTAGCCGTAGTACTGAAAAAGCCACTGCCGCTAGACGTGGCAGAAGTATCTTGTAGATGGTAGGAAACGACTGTGGAAGTGTCTATTACAAATGAAGATTTATCTTCTGGCTCATGATGCCTTTTCTTTATGATTAAACGAGAATGAGCAATTGGACCTGCCGAGCAAAGCGAGGCAATCAAATGAATAACGAGAGTTGTATATATGAAATGCATCTTGCCAGCTGAAAATTCTAGAAGTTGAACGGCACAGTCGTATCCCGATCTAAAGATTAAAGAGAGGATGCGACGAGATTATCACTAGATCAAATTGGCATGGCAAGTGGCAATTAAATGAGGTCAATTCAGAGCAGACAATAACGCATCTTAGCGGTAATAACGAAGGAAAGGGTTGAAAGAATGACAAAAAAATATATAGGAAAAGGGTCACTCTCGACAATGCAAGGAAGTGAAAGGACTTTTAAACAATGCTGTCCTTTTGTTGGGCCGGAGCACCACGGCCGGCAAATGTCATTGACACTGTGAATCCAAGGCAAGAGAAACACAATGAAGCGCCTTGCATTCAACATGTCTCAAACTGGCCTGCATGATTTGAGATGGGTGGTGCTTTACTGGATGAATTGGCGCGCGACAAAGCAATACTTCTTCACCAAAGCGCCGAGTGTTGAGCGGCGGTGTTGATTGGCGCTGACGCTTCAAAGCATCATTTTCTGAAACGAGGTGGCCCAGCGCCGGTCCTTTTCAAAATAGGCCGGAGAAAATGGGTCTTCGGACAAGTGAGTCGTTCTTCGCTGCATGATTGAGGTTGAGCCTTTTCGTGAGGATCGCAGCATCAGGTTGACAATGCTTTTATTAGTGGCATGATCAGGGCTGGATTTCGCAACAACCATGTCGTCAGCCTACAGTGGTGTTATACATCAGAGGCTCAATAAGTATAGAACTATTAATGAAGATGTTTTCTTTTCCTCGCGTTCTTGAACGGATGAGAAAAATATTACCTGTTTTCATTCAATGATGTGACACTCCTGATGAACCAACGGTAGACCCGGACACATCTGAGCGGCCATCGAAAGGCTTGATTTCTTCCTGACTGTTACTGAGCCGACCAAGGAGCCGTGACCAGCATCGTAATCCCACAGTCAGTGTGCTCAGGATAGGAAAAACAAGGATGATGGCAAACGCGACACCTGGAATGTTCCCTGACATGCTGGCGTACAGTTACTATAGCACTTGGCCTCAGTTCTCTCCGTAGAAGACTAGGCCGGCGTGAAAAATCACTTCTGAGCATCGCAATGGCTAGAGAAAGAATTCTTATCCTCGCCTTATAGCCAAGCCATGAAGAGTTGTGCTAGTCATCCTCCCTCGGAAGGCACTGGAAACGCGACCAACTTCCCTGGTGCGTGCATGCATCTGCCCAGACTCTAGCCAGCGATGCTAAAGTGTCCGGATCAACGAGAGCTCGGCCGTGAAGTGGACTTGGTGGAGTTTAACTTGTGAGTAATTGAGAGATTGTAAATTAATGCTGCTATCATTTGGCCCGGAAGCCAAACGGGCTCTTGAAACTGAACAACGCTAGTGTTATAATCTTACATTCGAATGATATTCATGGTTGGCCGGGTTTTGATGCCATACCCACTCACTAAATCCTGCCCAAGACGCGGTTCCACATGTTCAGTGGCAGCCCCTTCATGACATGTTGCGATTCCCTGCAACAGTGGTTGGTCTAATAGCCCAGTGATTCCCCATTGATCAGGACTTACTTGAAAGGCACAGAACCATTGCAGTGGCGATTGGTCCCGATAATCTCATAATCCTGGCACCATGAGGGCGTGCGTGCTGCTTACTCTCGCTGCTACCGTCACGGCGAGTCTGCAACACTTCAGCTTTGAACGCCACCAATTACAGTCGCAAGACCTGCAGAATCTAGATCCGGCCGATAGAATACTTTTCGGCTTTGAAGATCCCACCCGTGCCGTGAACCGGACATCTCGCTGCAAGGTATTCCCGGGTGACAGTGCATGGCCGCGTCCTCGCATTTGGGGCCTCCTCGACCAAGTTACCGGCGGTGCAGTGATCAAATCCGTTCCTCGGGCTTCATCTTGCTATCATGGTCCTACGTATGATCCGACAGACTGTAAGAGCGTAACTTCCCAATGGACTGATTCTTACTTCCAGTATGTCTTTTTCCCCACTAGATTTGATTGTGCCTTAGACTAACGTAGTCTTTAGTAACAATGACCCAATTGAGATGCTGTCCCCCGTATATCAAGGCTTGACATGTCAGCCAACCGCCGATCCGAGTGCCACTTGCACTCTCGGTGGATATCCTGCCTACGCGGTCAATGTGTCCAGTGTGGCTCACATCCAGTTAGCCATTAACTTTGCGCGTCAAACGGGTGTGCGCCTGGCGGTAAAAAACACTGGCCATGACTTCTCTGGAAAGTCCGGGGGTGCAGGCGCCCTTAGTATCTGGACCCATAATCTAAAGGGGATCCAGTACGTCCCATCTTATAATGCAGCAGGTACCGACTGGACCGGCACCGCATTCAAGATCGGTGCCGGTATCCAGGCCTATGAGATCTACAAAGCTGCACAGGACAGGCAGCTAATGGTAGTTGGAGGCGAAGGCCAAACGGTCGGAGTGGCAGGTGGTTACGTGCTTGGAGGCGGGTACTCCCCGCTGAGCTCAATCTGCGGCCTGGCTGCAGATCAGGTTCTCTCAATGGAAGTAGTACTCCCTGACGGACGATTCGTCACAGCCTCCTTCACCGAGAACAAAGAACTCTTCTGGGGACTACGAGGCGGCGGAGGCAGCACCTTCGGTGTCGTCACCTCAGTCACCATCAAAGCGTACCATACCATCCCAGTTACAACGTCAACCTTCACCTGGTCCACTGGGGCAAAGAGCAATATCACACACGAAGATTTCTGGGCCGGGTTTCGCGCTTACCTGGATTTATTCATCGAGCACTCAGACGCAGGCATCTACTCGTATTTCTTTATTATCCCCTCCAACGGTGAGCTAACCTTCCTAATGCAACCATTCTTCGCCCCGAACAAGACCATCGCAGAGACAGAAGCACTCCTAGAACCCTGGTTCCAACAACTACATCAACTAGGAATAACCTTCACCCCAAAGACCCAATACTTCGACAATTTCTACTCAGCCTGGAACGCCTCCTTTCCACTAGAAGTCGTCGAAAAGACCCACGTAGCAACGGGCTCGCGCCTCTTCCCCAAAATCAACTGGGAAGATCCTGCCCGCTTAAACGCAACCTTCGATGCCATCAAAGCCTCTTCCGAAGCAGGCCTAATCCTCATTGCCTTCAACATGGCACCCCGAGGCAGAAACCTGGACAACGCAGTCAACCCCGCCTGGCGCCGGACAGTCATGCACGCTCTGTCCACCGTAAACTGGAATCCCAACGCGACGGCGCAGGAGATTGCTGCTGCTCGGCACAATTTCACTTACGGGCATATGCAGCGCTGGCGCGATGTTAGTCCCGGTGCTGGGTCGTATCTAGGGGAGAGTGATCGCATGGAACCAGACTTTCAGCAAACGTTTTACGGGGAGAATTTTGGGAGGCTTTTGAAGTTGAAGCGGGTGGTAGATCTCGGGGATGTGTTTTGGGCTGCCACTGCAGTCGGGAGTGAGGGGTGGAGGGTTGTTACAGATGATGGGTTGCCGACGGAGAATGGAAGACTTTGTCGGGTTTAGGATTGGTTCCTATGAGTTACTTTGTTATGTCGGTATACGATTGGTATGTCATGTCTGTTTATGCATACGTTGGATGACAAGATCAACTCTCATGAAGATATACAAATATCAATCTCAATATACTCTCTAGTGAGTTCAACCATACCGTTTTTCAATAATGTCAGAGCAAACCCTAATATAACTCAAGTAAATAATTGCGGAGATTTTCCCACCTGTCAAGTGGACGTCTCACCCCACACTCAGACAAATTACTGAAAGACATCATATCCTCTCCGTTTCTGATTGGATTAGTTCCAGCTAAGATTGCACCGTCTTATACTTACGGGTGGAGCTATATGACGATCGTATTATAGAGGCTTTGGGAAGTCCACTCTGAGCTATTTTCCGTATACTGCTCGGTGTGTAAGGCTATGAGCTGCTGAGATTCTCTCAGACCTTGCTAGATAAGCACGACGGTAGATGGTTGCCAAAATGCGAGATAGTTTCAGAATCCTTATTGCCTCGACAGCATGCAAATAACATACTAGTATGTAGTGTGATAAACGATGGACTCTCCATGCAACTACGGCTTTAGTAAAGACGAATCATGAAGTGGCATCACGAAATCCTGTCGCGTTATTTTTGCCAGCTAAGCTGTGTTCTGCTCGTACTTACTAGTAATAAGGCCATGCTCATGGTCGTGGATTTCCCAGTATTTATCATATAAGTCACACCCATGTCAAGATAGCCTCTTGTAAGGGGAATATGTTTTTCTTTTCTTTTCTTTTCTTTTCTTTTTTTTGGTTTTCGGTACTTGCTTCGGACGACATATTCTTATGTGCATAAATCATGAAGCTTATGCAAGTTGCAAGGAGCGACTTGTCAAAAGCTATGCCAGGAAATCATTACCGGATTCATTCTGACTATTTATCAGCACAGTATTTCGAAACAGTTGTCGGAAAATGAAAGTGGGAAAAAGCAAAGGATATGGAAAAAGCAAGGTGGAAAAAAGGAAAATATAAAAAAAGGGGGCTTTTGCTATTTGATATCGCTCTGTGACATGTCCCTGAGTCACATCAAATGAGTCCAGCTATTTAAGGGTATTTGCTCTGTATAGAATTCAATGATACACACTACAAGTACATGCACTAGGCCACTCTTTTGAATCTCTTAAAGATTGTTCTTTCCAGGGTTCAGAGACAGTCACGACATTGATTCTCCAAGAACAAGCTCTGGGGAGTGCCGTCTTGGCCCACTTACTCAATTGACCATTGGGAGGATCGGCAGTGAACGGATGGACCCTTTTACTAGTATGGAGTCACTAAACGAGAACTAGCCTCGGAAGGGATACTAGAGATGGTTACATCCCCACCCTACGGAATGCTCTATCACAATGCTCATCATTGTTTTTGTCATGCGCCGTCACCGTCTGCCTGTCCAACTACTCCAGACTTAGGGTTCAAAGAAAGCGGGGGATGAAGAGGACGTGCCCAATCCAGTTTAGGGCCGGTAAGTCATCATCGAAACCAGGGACAGACGATGTCACCTTCCTTCACCTCTACACCAATCGCACTATTTCGTCCCCTTCCTGTCGGAGGGTTGCACCTGAATATTGATTTGTGATCGCTTGTCTTATTTCTATACTCGGCTATGCGCATGCAGAGTGATCTTTTCGCCTCGGCTTGAAGCGATTCACAGGAATATTCGAATAAAAAGGCCTGATATTCTCTTCGGCTGCGCACGCTTCCTAATGTCGTAACCCTTTGTCCTTGAGTTCAACTATAATATCTTCAACATGGCGAATGCAAGGCTAGGTGTCGTAATCTCTGGAACCTTTATAGCAGCGCTATTCTTGTTGTTGCTGTTTTCTGTCATATCGGATTCCAACCAACCGCCTGTTGTCGATAGCAGGTATAAATGGGCCGATAGGAACACTGAATTCGCGTCCGACGACAGCGTTTTCCTACTAGGTGCTGGTAGAGCGGACATTACTGGGTAAAACTCTTTCCCCTTATTCCCCGTCCATCCCTTGATCACTTGATCCTTTGTCTTGTTCAAGGCAATACCTCAAATAACTCCACTAACATCTTTGAACCAGGCCTGTTGTCGAGATCGGATTTGGCGGCTACGCCAGCTTGGACCAAATTGGAACTGGCCTACGACAGAGAATCTACTCTCGTGCTTTCATAGTCGCAAATCCCAACAGCCCAAAAGATACCTTCATCTATTTAATTATAGACTCGCTGACAGGTGACACTGCTGTGCGACATGGAGTCCTCGAAGGCCTTGCTGGCCTTGGCAGTGAATTTGCAGACTATGGAGAACACAATGTAGCCTTTACAGGAACCCACTCCCATTCAGGGCCGGGTGCGTGGATGAACTATCTTCTCCCTCAGATTCCGAATAAGGGCTTTGACAAGCAAAGCTATCAGGCGATCGTCGATGGCGTCCTGCTTTCCATCAAACGAGCCCATCAAAGTATTGCGCCTGGACGCCTGAGCTTTGGCTCCATAGACATTGAAAATGCGAACATCAACAGAAGCCCGTATAGTTATGATCACAATCCGGAAGAAGAGAAAGCGCGATACTCAGACAGCGTGGACAAGACCATGACGCTTCTGAGGTTCGACAGAGCAACGGATAATAAAACGACGGCCGTTCTGACATTCTTCCCAGTGCATGGCACTTCCATGTATAACAACAATACATTGGTAACGGGTGACAACAAAGGAGTCGCAGCGTGGCTTTTTGAAAGAAGTGTCAAGGCCGACAAAACCTTCGCTGACGATTTCGTTGCGGGCTTTTCCCAATCAAATGTCGGAGACACGAGCCCGAACGTCTTGGGAGCATGGTGTGAAGATGGCTCTGGGCAGAAGTGCCGATATGAGGACAGCACATGTGGTGGTACAATGGAGAAATGTCGTGGCCGTGGGCCCTTCTTCCGTGAAAAGGACAATGGTGCCAAAAGCTGTTTCGAAGTCGGGAAGCTTCAATATGAAGCTGCCAGGAAACTCTATACCCAGCTGGACTCTAATCCGACTCGGATTCTCAAGAGCTCTGATGTTCACGCCTTCCACGTGTACCAAGATCTCTCTGATTACACCTTTATCTCGCCATTCAATTCAAGCACTCTGAAGACATGCTCGGCAGCCCTTGGCTTCTCGTTTGCGGCTGGTACTACTGATGGACCGGGCATGTTTGATTTCACACAAAACAGCAGTGGACCAGCAGAGAAAAATCCACTATGGTATGCTGCTCGTGCCTTCATTCACCAACCCTCCAAGGAGCAGAAAGCGTGCCAAGAGCCGAAAGAAATCCTTTTAGATGTGGGAGCAGTAACGCAGCCGTATGCATGGACTCCGAATATTGTTGATATCCAGGTTTTGAGGGTCGGTCAGCTGTTTATCATTATCTCAACCAGCGAGGCCACAACCATGTCTGGACGGCGCTGGAAAGAAGCCATCGCAAGATCCGCGAAAGACGTGCTTTCGGTGGCAAATCCCTTGGTGGTATTGGGTGCTCCATCAAATAGCTACGCCCATTACGTGGCGACCGAGGAGGAATATCGTGTGCAACGTTACGAGGGTGCCTCGACTCTTTACGGTCCCAATACTCTCGCGGCATATATCAACCTCACACTCACATACCTTCCATATCTCGGCGACAGCTCCAGCTTGCCAGCACTAGACTCCAAAGTGAAACCTCCTATCAATACGGATAAGTCTCTATCGTTTATCCCTGGCGTCTTGTACGATGGTAGCCCTATCGGCAAAACGTTCGGTGATGTCATCTCGTCCGTCGACAATGCCGCGTATGGACCTGGTGATACTGTGAATGCCACCTTCGTTGGAGCTAACCCTCGGAACAATTTACGTCAAGAATCCACATTTGCGGCAGTTGAGCGACAGAAACCCGGAACAGACACCTGGGAGGTTGTGCGTACTGACCGAGATTGGAACCTTGTTTACACCTGGAAGAGAACGAACACGGTTCTTGGCCACAGCGAGGTGACAATCCAGTGGCAGATAGAGGATGACTATTATAATGTTGGGAACCCCACCTCCCTCAAGGACGGAACCTATCGCCTGCATTACTATGGAGATTTCAAGACCGTCAAAGGTGACATCGGGGGGTTCGAAGGAATAAGTGGCTCTTTCACTGTGGCAACAAACTAAGCACGATAAGTCTGAACTTTTTGGACTCGGGGGTGTAGACATCGCATCTTCATCCATTGCCTTTCCTGAAGCAACTGGATTAGAGTTGCATGTCACTAATGTTAATACGTAGCTCTCATCAGAGCTTGGGATTCTATAGTTTTGGCCTGCACACTTCTCTACATGCTGGTGTAAATACGTTGGTTAGTGGAGGCATTTAGGAAACAAGCTTCTTTTTAGTTTACCCCAGTGTATATCGATGAGCCAGAATAATTAACGATGGCTAGTATAATAGCTTTGCAGGCGCGCCAGTTAGGAAGCTATCCGATGATGATTCAGTATTGTAGTTTATGCCGAAGGAAGTCATTGCTTTTTGAACCATCTCATGAATATCAAGGCCGATGGTAGTCAGTTTGGTTTTGAAGGCCAGACTAATATCATTACAAAGTGTGGACTTCGTGGTGGAAGGATTGTTTTCGTCAAGCTAAACGGTGCATGTACACCTTCTACCATCAAGTGCCTGTACATTCTTGAAGAATAAATAGCCAGTCCCGAAAATGATATCCCTCTATACATTCTCGTCAAATCGACTTTTCCTTCCAGTAGATAAAAAGGAAAACGGGACCTTTCTCAGCTTCCTAACCTGTACTTCGGAACTATTTGCCAGTTTAGTAAATACTTGACCAAGCTCCTTCATACCATCGCACTCCAAAATGTATAGATCACAAAATATACTGGAACTTCCAATATGCCTACCCGTTTTCTAATAAGACGACAATAATCAGCACCCTTATATCACCCTTTTTACTCGGTCTTTAAAGCCCCTAAAAAGTTGGCAAATCATGACCGATTTTAGGGCACCGATTACTCATCCGCTAGGGGAGCTGTTGATTCACCGCCCGGCAGAAAAAGATGAAGGTTGGCATGAACCTCAAACTTCATCTATACATTCAGCCATTACTCCTCGACAGAGAGCTTCTCATTCCAGTTTGAGTTTCAACGACAGTCCATTCAGATCGCCTACCTCTCGTATCCAACTAGTCCAATATGCCTCTCATCAATGAGTCCCATGACTCTCTCCCTTGTACGTCTCGTCCCTACCAGCGAACTCTCTCCTTCTAACAATCAACTCTTCCTTAGATATCGATGCGGAACCTTCCGCCCAGGCTCGAGCTAATGCCCAGAAGCTCATTGCCTCAGAGCTTCCTGCTGACTATTCGTCAACAACTCATCCTTTGATCCCCGCTTTCCCCGAACCCCAGTTTTCCCCCCTCATGCAGCAGGAGGTCGACCGGAAGGCTGCTGGATTACCCTTGACCGGTGGAATTGACCTTTCGCGCTATGAGGCCCCTGAGCCACCTACCAGATCATCTGAAGCGGGACCGAATGCGACTCCCAATCTTGACGAGTGGCGCCAAGCCTTGCAGAAGGCCTACACGGCCAGTTCCCATTTGTCCATGAGGCGGGATAATCTGACGCTCCTGGAAGAGAATGGCAAAAATGCGTGGCTGATTGGGAACTCTCAACTGGAGGATGTCTTACGAGGACTTGAGAAGGAATTGGCTGAAACCAAGGAAGCTGCGGAGACGGTGAACAAGCAAAGGAAGACCGCTCAAGAGTCTAGCAAAGGAGAGCTTGCGGGGTTGGAAGAAACATGGAAAAGAGGCGTTGGTGCGATTCTCGATGTTGAGTTGGCTTCGGAGAATCTGCGCATGCAAATTTTGGAGCAGCGACGTCAGCTTGCCCAACAGCACGCTCGGTAGTTGCGTTTCTTAGTCTACTTTGAGGATTCCCTGCGGTTTCTGATGCGGGGCCCGGATGCGCCGGGCCCAGAGGCCACATCATATTATCACAGCCAAGCTACTCCTATGTCCAGATGGCCGATTTTCCTCGACTTGGCCCTCCTTTTGCTTTAGGATACTCATACCCTTGCATCTGACTGGCTGCTATATTTAGTGGCATCGTCTTCCTTTCTCTTTGTTGATGCTGTCCAGTCCGAACTTTGCGGGCAAAGGTTTCTGGAACAGCGTCCATCTATCAAATCCCACGAGTCCAGAGACATGTGGGTCTCCCTTTGAGAGCCAAGAAACGAGTCCGGGGTAGCAATGGATGGAAAAACTCATCGAGTGCATTAGCGTGAATTATCTCCGCCCGGGATTTGCAACGGTTGAAAGGGATCTGGTAGTAGGCGTCGGCCACTACAGCATTCTGAGGATCTTGTGCGGGGAAATCCTGGAAAGAGTAATGACCTTTAGCTTCACTTTTAGCTTCAAGGTTCCTTTCCCCACACTCGGCCGCCTCGCGCTCAACGCTAGTGCTAAACTTTCCTATTCATTTACGGTCGAGATCCTACATGGAACTGATTCGTGTCTGCGGCCATACGGGACCATATCGTCGCACAGTCGGACGCCACTTTCCTGTTTCTTTTTCTCGCAAGTTCAATGTGTCGGATGTCTCGAGCTATTGATTCTGTGATCGGACAGCTCATTGTATTACTCTCGCGGAAGATCCATGACCCAGTTTTTCCATATAGGTTTCCTATCGCAATCGATTTCTGATGTCGGGGGGATTATCTGGATGTAGGAAAGCACTTTATGCAGTAATACAATATTAATCACTGCCTGTTTTATCTTTGAACCTTTTTCATATCGTCTAAGCTCAACTCTTCCTCGTCTCGGACATTGGGTGCCGTTCATCACTAGTTTCACATTGGAATTCGCCGGATAAATATCTATGTATTGTTGGTTAGCACAAGTAGTCTTGGTGTGCGGGGAATTGTCGTAGACGACATATTATAACCCTCAAATCTAATTCACCGTTCTCATTGATCGACCTTGCTGTGCTTGAATGTCTCTTAGCCCCGGTAATCACCCTCTGATAGTCCAAATTTTGGGCCTTTATACGCGTCGTACTTTTGCTGTGCGGGGAATTGACCACACAGAAAAGGCTCCATGCATAGAGCAGGAGCCCTGAAAGCTGATAGCGACCCATGGCCTTGAACCAGACCTTGCTGGGTCTCGGCAGAGCATATAAGTCTCAGCGGAAATTCCCAGGATTCCCCTCAGGAGGTATATCTCCCTCATAACAATCCTTGTAACATCTCAATATTCTACTCTGTTGCTAGCGAACCAAGTATCAAGATATCATTGCAAGAATGACCATCCCAGACGAGGTCGACATCATCATCTGTGGTGGCGGGAGCTCTGGGTGTGTCCCAGCAGGCCGTCTGGCCAACCTCGATCACAACCTGCAGGTATTGCTGATCGAGGCAGGCGAAGATAACCTGAACAACCCGTGGTAAGCTAGAGGTCACCTCATGTACACCAAAGAGGGTTTCCATTGACCAGTATAGGGTCTATCGCCCGGGCATCTACCCCCGAAACATGAAGCTGGACTCAAAGACAGCTTCCTTCTATTACTCTCGTCCATCGGAATGGCTTGACGGACGTCGGGCTATCGTCCCTTGTGCCAATATCCTCGGAGGAGGTAGCTCGATCAACTTCATGGTACTTAGTTGACTCTGCCATTCCTGGTCCATAAAGGGCTAACTTGTTCCAGATGTATACGAGAGCATCGGCCTCAGACTATGACGATTTCCAGGCAAAGGGGTGGACGACCAAGGAACTCATTCCTCTGATGAAGAAGCATGAGACGTATCAGCGCGCATGCAATAACAGAGACCTGCATGGTTTTGATGGACCTATCAAGGTCTCTTTTGGGAACTATACGTATCCTATCATGCAGGACTTCCTGCGTGCCGCCGAGTCGCAGGGTATTCCGGTCACGGATGATCTGCAGGACTTGAAGACTGGGTATGACTTACAAGACATTGCTAGCCTAAGTTCAGTACTAACAAATGTGTAGACATGGAGCTGAACACTGGTTGAAATGGATCAACCGTGATACCGGTAAGACAATCTTCCAGTGATAGCTTGTTACAGCTAACGATATTTGAACACAAAGGCCGCCGTAGCGATGCTGCACACGCCTATGTCCACAGCACAAGAGCCAAGTACACCAATCTCCACCTCAAGTGCAACACAAAGGTGGACAAGGTCATCATCGAAGATGGCCGAGCTGTGGGTGTCGCGACCATTCCCACCAAGCCCTTAGACGGTCGTAACCCACCACGCAAAATCTTCCGAGCCCGCAAGCAAATCATTGTTAGCAGCGGCACACTCAGTTCGCCTCTTATCCTGCAAAGATCTGGAATCGGTGAACCTGAGAAGCTCCGGAAAGCAGGCGTCAAGCCCCTGGTTAACCTTCCAGGCGTGGGCCGCAACTTCCAGGACCACTACCTTACCTTCTCTGTCTACAGGGCTAAGCCGGATGTTGAATCCTTCGACGACTTCGTTCGCGGTGACCCCGAAGTGCAGAAGAAGGTCTACGAGGAGTGGAATCTCAAAGGCACAGGCCCACTGGCCACGAACGGCATCGAAGCCGGCGTAAAAATCAGGCCTACGCCAGAGGAACTGGAGGATATGAAGACTTGGCCTACCCCAGAGTTTACCAGCGGCTGGGAGAGCTATTTCAAGAACAAGCCTGATAAGCCTGTTATGCACTACTCCATCATTGCCGGGTGAGAAACTACGCTCACAACCATATTGATCCCTCTTATCTTCTCTAACTAACCGGTAACAGCTGGTTCGGCGACCACATGCTCATGCCCCCGGGCAAGTTCTTCACAATGTTCCACTTCCTGGTACGCCATCTTACCTTTCCCATGCATCAATCTCTAAGTAAGTCACCTAACATAATCCCAGGAATATCCATTCTCCCGCGGCTTCACCCACATCCAATCCGCCGATCCCTACGACGCCCCCGACTTCGACGCCGGCTTCATGAACGACAAACGTGACATGGCCCCCATGGTCTGGGGCTACATCAAATCACGCGAGACTGCCCGCCGCATGAGTGCCTACGCAGGCGAAGTAACCGGCATGCACCCACACTTCGCCTTCGACTCTGCGGCCCGAGCATTCGACCTCGACCTAGCCACAACAAAGGCATATGCCGGTCCAAACCACATCTCCGCCGGTATCCAGCACGGTACGCATTTAACCCCCCCTCCAACATAACATCCATGCCATGAACCAAACTAACAATGGAAAAACAGGATCATGGTCCCAACCCCTCGAACCAGGCCAATCCCCCACAGAAACCTACCTCAACTCCAACAAGCAAGAGACCCGGGAACCAATCAAATATAGCAAAAAGGACATCGAACACATCGAGAAATGGGGTACGCATACCTGAAGTTCCCTACCCGAACCCTCCACATCTACCAGTACCCCTTCCCTTCCCTGCTAACAGTAAAAAACAAATGTAGTCCAACGTCACGTCGAAACAACCTGGCACTCCCTCGGAACCTGCAGCATGGCGCCGAGAGAAGGCAACTCGATCGTCAAGCACGGCGGTGTCGTCGATGAACGTCTTAATGTTCACGGCGTTAAGGGTCTTAAGGTCTGTGATTTGTCGATCTGTCCGGATAATGTTGGGTGTAATACTTTTAGTGTAAGTTTGCATTTTTTTCATATACCTCCTCTTTCCTTTTTTGAGATGGTTTTTGCTAACGAGGATACAGACTGCCCTTTTGATCGGGGAGAAGTGTGCTGTGCTCACTGCGGAGGATCTGGGGTATTCCGGTGCGGCACTGGAGATGAGGGTTCCGACATATCATGCTCCGGGGGAGGTTGTTAATCTTGCTAGGTTGTAGGTTGTAGTGTTGTAGTTTTCTTGATGGGGGGTTTCTGGTGGTGTGAGGAGAGGGTTATTCATGAGTATGATACGGATATGCAGAATGAGAAATTGAAATCTTACTTTTTTCCGGAAATGATCTATTGTCTTGAATATGTACACTGTCGACTAGTTAAATATATTTTATAGTGCATAATCCAAACGACCGCCAATCGGTCTTTCTAGTCTAGTAGCAAAGAAGCATAGCAATATATACATCGATCACGTATATACCCCATCCCATACACATAAATCACACGTAGGTCTGATGAGAACTACAATACGAACATAGAATATACTACACAGACATTAACAGCCTCATCCTTAAGAAGAAGATTTCATATCCGCCTCCTTATTCCACGCCTTAACCTCCCTACACATCCCATCCAAGGTAGTAATCGGCGGGTTATACCCAAGCCCACCCTTCTCAGGAGACATCCGTGCACGCGAATCATCACCGATCACATGCGCGCTGGCGATAGCGAAGAGGCCCGGCTGCAGCTGAGCAAGCTCTCCCGTGACCTTCGGAAGCCAGGGGAGATACTGTTGCTGCACGAAGGCATACCATTCAAGTGGATAAGACATCAGAATGAATGGAATAACCGGAACGCGGGGGAAGGCGACGGGTGTCTTTGCCAATGTCGTGAGGAGAAGGTAGACGTCTTCGAAGGGGACCGGCGGGTTGGGGTCTGTGACGGCGAAGGCCTGTCCGCCGATGTTTGGGAGCGTGGAGGGGCTATCCGTGTGTTCGAGGAGACGCTGCTCGTAGAGGAGATGGGCGATAGAGACGTTTTCGGCATTCACGAAGCTGTGGATGACGTCGTAGGTCCAGCTATTTGGTTTAGTTTTTGGTTTAGTTTTATTTGGTGATGGGAGCGGAGGGACGTTAAGTTGGAGTTGGATCTTACCTCGGCGCGCCTTTGCTGCGGAGATAGTTTCCTGTAACGCTACCGGCGGTGTCCGAGACACCATAGATTCCATTTACGGGGCGGATGCAGCCGGTTCGGAAGTTGGATTTAAGGTCGTCGGCGGAGCAGACGATGTTCTCTGCTTCGGCTTTGGCGACGGCGTAGTTTCCGAAGAAATGGTCATGCTTTTTGGGTACCTCGTTCGAGTCATTGACGACCTGTACTAGGTATTCGGGGGTCTTCGTCCAGGGAGCGATCCAGAAGGAGAATCGGCGGAGACAGACAGAACCGG